AGAAAAAAACCAAATAAGCACAATCAGAAACACAAAAGATGAAGTCACATCTGACCCTGAAGAAATACAAAAGATCATTAGAGACTACTACGTACACTTGTATGGAAACAAACTTGAAAACCATAAGGAAATGGAGGACCTTCTGACATCACACAACCTACCTAGGTTGGAAGAAGAAGAAATTGAGACCCTAAATAGACCAATAACAATCAAGGAAATCGACTACGTAATAAGAAAACTTCCTACAAAAAAAGCCCTGGTCCAGATGGCTTTCCAGCAGAATTCTACAAGACATTCAAGGAGGAGCTGATACCAATTCTACTGAAGGTATCCCAGGCGATTGAAAATGATGGAACTCGCCCCAAATCATTTTAGGAAGCCAATATCACATTGATACCTAAGCCAGGTAAAGATCCAACAAAGAAAGAGAACTACAGGCCAATATCTTTGATGAACATAGATGCTAAAATTCTCAACAAGATGCTAGCAAACCGGATTCAGCAATACATCTCAAAAATCATCCACCATGACCAAGTAGGCTTCATTCCAGGGATGCAAGGCTGGTTCAACATTCATAAAACCATAAATGTAATTAAATACATCAACAGATGTCAAAACAAAAACCACATGATCATATCATTAGATGCAGAAAAAGTTTTTGATAAAATCCAGTACCCCTTCTTGATATAAACCCTTGAACATCTAGGTATACAGGGAACATACCTCAAAATAGTAAAAGCCATCTACGAGAAACCCACAGCCAGCATACTCCTAAATGGACAAAAATTGGAACCAATTCCCCTGAAAACTGGAACTAGACAAGGATGCCCACTCTCTCCCCTCCTGTTCAACATAAAATTGGAAGTCCTGGCTAGAGCAATCAGAGTAGAGGAGGCAATCAGAGGTATTCAAATAGGAAAAGAGGAAGTCAAGTTACCTCTCTATGCAGATGATATGATTGTGTACCTTGAAAACCCAAGAGAATCTGTCAAAGGCCTCCTTACATTGATAAAGGCCTTTGGCAAAGTCTCAGGATACAAAATAAATGTACAAAAGACAATCGCATTTCTCTACACCAATAATAAACAAACAGAAACCCAAATAAAAAACACAATTCCCTTCACAATAGCCACACAAAAAAATGAAATACCTTGGCATCTTCCTAACCAGAGACGTTTACAATGAAAATTACAAAACACTGCTCAACGAAATCAAAGCTGACATGAACAAGTGGAAAAATATCCCATGCTCATGGATCGGAAGAATCAACATTGTGAAGATGTCCATCTTACCTAACAACATTCTTCTCAGACCTAGAAAAAAAACACAGAAATTCATATGGAAACACAAACGTCCAAGAATAGCCAGAACAATCCTCAGCAAAAAAAACAAAGCAGGTGGTATCACAATACCAGACTTCAAACTTTACTATAAAGCTACAATCATCAAAACAGCTTGGTATTGGTATAGGAACAGGCATATAGATCAATGGAACAGAATTGAGATTCCAGAAGCAAAACCTCAATTTCTCAACCAACTCATCTTTGACAAAGCCTCCACCAACAACCACTGGGAGAGGAGAACCTAATCAGTTAATGGCACTGGGAAAACTGGCTGACCACATGCAGAAGATTGAAACAGGACCCCTATCTATCTCCATGCACAAAGGTTAACTCCAAATGGATCAGAGACCTAAATGTAAAACCTCAAACCATAAGAACCTTAGAAAAGGAAGGAAATACTCTCATGGAAATCGGAACTGGCATCCAATTCCTGTACAAAACCCGAAACCTACAGGACTTAAGAGAGAAGATAGACAAATGGGACCTTATTAAACTGACAAGCTTCTGCAAAGCCAAAGAAACCATCAAGAGAGCAGGGAGACAGCCTACAGACTGGGAAAAAGTATTTGCCAACTCTAGATCTGACAAAGGCTTAACATCCTGGATCTACAAGGAACTGAAACATACTGAAAAGAAGAAAACAAACAACCCCATTATAAAATGGGCAAAAGATATGAACAGACACTTCACAAAAGAAGACATCTGAGCAGCCAACAAACACATGAAGAAATGCTCAACCTCACTAATCATCAGGGAGATGCAAATCAAAACCACACTGAGATACCACCTAACTCCAGTCAGAATGGCAATTATCAACAACTCAAAAAATAACAACTGCTGGAGAGGGTGTGGTGAAAAGGGAACACTTCTACACTGTTGGCGCAACCTCTGTGGAAAGCAGTGTGGCAATTCCTAAAAGCTCTAAAAATTGACCTTCCATATGACCCTGCAATTCCCCTACTGGGAATATACCCTGAAGAACACAAATCACTCTATAAAAAAGATACCTGCACACGTATGTTTATCGCAGCGTTGTTCACAATAGCAAGAACCTGGAAACAACCATGCTGCCCATCAAAAGAGGACTGGAGTAAAAACATGTGGTACATATACACAATGGAATACTACACAGCCATAAAAAAGAACAAAATCATGAATTTCGCAGCAACCTGGATGGAACTAGAGTCTATAATACTGAGTGACCTTTCACAGAAACAAAGATCCGAATATCACATGTTCTCACTCATATAATGGACCTTGAACATCCAATGCAATACTATAAGAAAATGACTAATGGTACTGGGAAACTATGGGGGGGTGAGGGGGATGGGATTAACAGTAGCAAATATCTGTCTGGGGATGGGAAAACACCTCTTATCAACAGGGTGCCTGAATGAAACGTAATTGTACACCTAACCCTTAACTGTACCCCACAAAACCATAATAAAAAATACTGATTAAAAAATAATAATAATTTAAAAAAACTAACACAGATAGAAACTATCATAGTGAGGCAAATGCAAGAAATAAAGAAAACACAGTGAAAGATAAGAAATGCTTCTGACAAGTTCATCAGTAGATTCAAGACAGCCAAAGAAATAATCATTGAACCTGAAGTCAAGTCAATAAAAATTACTCAAACTTAAATTCAAAAAGAATGGCAAAAGTTTAACATAACACCCAGGGCTTGTAAAATAATCTCAGACAGCCTAGTACATACATAACTTGAATCCCAGAAGGAAAGAGACAATGGTGCAGAACTGTGTGAAGAAACAGTGGTTGAGAATTTTCAGAAATTAATGACAGTCACCACAATGCAGATGCAGGACATTCAGAGAATTCTAAAAAGCATAAATATCACAGAAACATATACACAGAAGCACACACACAGCTGGATATACTATATTCAGATTGCTGACAAAATTTTGACCTTAGAAAAAGAAAATTGACATTCTAGAATTCTCTATGCAATGAAAATATCTTTCAGAAGTGCTACTGTACATATGCTATATAAAGTGCAAAAAGAAGATCTTCAGAGAGAGGGAACACGATACATGAAAACATTTAGGTCTACACAAAGAAATGTCTTTAGGAAACTCAAAGGAATGCAGCCTCTTCATTTCACCCCAAAGGTTCAGGGAGAGATCCTCTCAATCAGGACCTTGGACAGGACTGAAATATACTTAACTGAGTTCCTATGGTGCTGTCATGTCAGCATCTAGCATCCACAAAGTGGCTGAAGTGAAATGATACCTCTCTCTGGAAAGTCACTTGCATATGTGGTTGTTGGAAGGGACTCCATACTAGGAATATGACTGTCTTGGCAACTGTTTCTGATTTTTTATAATTCTGTATATAATACAGTATAATACTTAATTGGTCAAAATTTTCACACAAAAATGGCCAAAGACAATTTTCTTTCTGCACTTTGAACATCTATCTTCATTGGGCTTTTTGCTTACATAGTCTTATAATTTTGTTGTGAAGTTGATCCTTTCTTATGGTTTACCATAAAGGAAGGGTCAAAACAGGGAATTTTAAAATAAAGTTTATGACTTGGTCCAGTGAGCTGCTTTGGACTAGTGGTCTCAGTCCTCAGACACTTTTTGTTCTTTTTGATAGTGCTTCTAAACTCTGTTCTGAGCCTTGCTTGCTAGCATTCTTTCCTGCTTCTAAAATTTCTTTATTCCTAAAATTTTATTTCTTTAATTATACTCTTCAAGTACTCTGTAGTCTGTAATGAAACTTAACATTTACTATTAGGTGACCAGGCCAGAATGCAAGATTAGAGAACACAGGCAAGACGACAGACATTGCACTCATATTTGAATTACTCATTCAGAGTAAAATGTGGGTGAAGTCTAAAGATAACAGTATCCCTCTACAGAGGGTAATTCATTTTGCAAAAATAATACACCGAAAGCCACAGGGCAAATTCGTTTTATTATGGAAAACATGTATACTATGTTTATGTGGAATGTACAACTGACACAGCCAGGAGAACACGTTACACTGTGTTTGCGTGAGTCATTATTCTACTGCTTTCTCTCTAAATTTTTGATTTTTTTTTTAGTTCCTTCATTTATTTTCTACATTTGGAAACATCACTGCTAGTAACACATTAGGAAGCAGAGCCTACTGTTTTGCAACAACTTTGGTAATTTTTTTTAAAGCATCCTGGATAAGAAACCCTGGAGGAGAAAACATGGCTGTCACCTTGTTGTAGGAAATAAAGGATTTGTCTAGTATAAGCAGGAAAATCTTTTCCAGCTGCCTGCTGACTCAATTCAATAAACATTCATATTATTTTTGAGCGCTAGCCCTAAAAGACACGGGCAGTCAGCTTAATGGGAAGAAGAAAGCGGTGTTCACTCACTAATTTGACTCGGTGGCCGGGCGTGGCGCTGATTTCCCAAGTGCATTCCTTCCTGCTGGGGTACTTGTCTGGCCAGTTGGGACTGTTGATGAGGCCACTGGGACTGTGGATCTTCTGTTCACACTCAGCTGTGCCAAGAACCATAATATCAGTCATTGTGGACACCCATTCCAGGATAGGCCAGCAAGCCAGCAGTCTATCTGCTTATGGCCCTGTTGAGGGATGTCCCGAAGACTAGCTCTTCAGTACTGGTGTCTGCTATCTCTTCATCTATTTTGGGAAACATGCCTCTGAGCATAATCACACAACTTTGCCATCTGCCTTACAGGAGATTGTTTACCATGAATCAGAGAAACACCTCAAAGAAAACGAACTCCTATTTTAAACTGCTAGATCTGAAGAGCAACATATACTGACAAGTAAGAATATCAACACTGGGTATGTGCAAATTATTTAATGCAATTCCATAAACAAAAATCACTGGACTATGCAATTTTCAATTCTTTTTCTTCTGTTAACTAAAATATCATTTACAGATAATTAACATCATTAAGGCACTTTATGAGTCATGTATTTATATTTTCTCTCTCCCTCACTTGAATGCCTAAATCATAATTTTAGCTACTAAAATAAATTACCCCTAATTTCATCAAAGCAAAAGGATGCGCTAAGGGAAAAAATAAGTGAAGAGCTACTGCCCTGGAGATAGCTTCTGATTTAACTTCAAAGAATATCTCATGCGATGAGCATACTTCAATTTTTTTAATTTTTTCACAATTAACCTTATTTTTTGCAAAACCATTCCACATTGTTAATATTAGATTTTTAAAAAATGTAATACCCTTAGGCTGTGTTTATTCTATGTAATTTATGAAACTGTGCACTATACATCCTGGTTTAGACTGGGATTATTTGTTTTGCACACTATATATCTTGGTTTGGACTGGGATATTAAAATGTATTCCATTGTGAAATACAATAATTTTATTAAGTTATTTGAGCAATCTGGAGAAATTCTCTACTATATGGACATGACGCCTGTTACACTGCAGGCCCACCCAACAAGGTTACAAGCCTCACAGTAACCACCGTGCTGCACTTGGTCCTAACTGTGCTAGGTGTCTGTAGGGAGATCTGGATTTGCAGTAAAGGGATACAAAAAAGTAAAAAGTAAAATTCAGCTCCTGCCAAACAATCTAGGATTATGATAGCAAGAGAATAGCCTCAGAAGTTTGGATGCAGCCAGTCGTGACAAGGGTTCTCTAAATTCCGTGTTCCTGTCTTTGCCTTGCCCTGCTGAATGTGGTGGCTGTCGGGTCTGCGAAATAGCTGGAGGTGAGGCTTAAGGTTCGCTGCTGACCTGTACAAAGAGCACATCCTGTAGCAAAGGCCAAAAAAAATCCAGCCTCTGTCCTGGCGGTGGAAGTGAACTTCATGCAAGCGTCCCTAGATGTCATTATAACTAAAAGAACGTTTCCTACAAAGTCATTTATTAAAAATATTAGCCTCTGTAATGAAAAAAGACATATTTGCTACTTGAAAGCCTTGGGTTCCAGGTAAAAGCTGAAAAAGCTGTTTTGTTTCTGAATTACGTTCCATCTCTGGGACAAAAAAAAAACACCAAAAAAACTAGGCATATTTTCCAGCCTTTTGATTTAATGGCATATCTTACCAAATTTTCAAAAGTAAAGACAGAAAAAATTCTGCTTGTGTACAATTCTGTACAACATCATCTCAAAGAAAAAAGAGAAAACACTCCAACCTATGGTCATACTGAAGGGAACTGAGTGGAGCCAGGATCCATGCCGGATGCTCCCGACTGTTGTAATGTGAACACACAGAGTCATTATTCAACTGGGGTGCTAGCCAGGTACCCACCAACATACGCACATGGGTGACTAAAGTTACACAATTTGCATTAGTAATTCTCCTTTTAAAACAGGAATACCTTCAATTTAAGTGGAAAATTTGAGCGCAGAGACTCAAAGGAAGAAATAAAAATGAATTATTTCTTGTTCCCATCTAGCTCACAGTGGCTGAGGAAATTAAGATCATTGGTTTAAAAAAAAAAAAAAACCTGGAATTTCCTAAAGCCTTGGAGCCAAAATCTGATCGGGTACTATTGTTCTACTAATAAGCTTTTTGGGGGCTAAAACCATGACTTAAACTTAAAGGGACAAAGAATCTACCATTTTCAAATGTCTTCCTTTTGGTAGGCATTTGAGTTTGATGTATTTAAAGGGACATCACTCGTGTAGTTTATATACAAGATATTTTGAAGAGGGATATTAAAGCCAATGAAAAACATTTAGCAGAAGCTAAGTTTAAATATGGCCAGTGTTATAAGGTCTGTTCTACTAAGACCCAAGCATGATGTGGTGCTTTCTGCCTGACAGATGGCATCATAGCAGCTTCTGTGTCTGCTACACAAAACCACTCTAATGCCACCTAAGTGTGAAGTGCAGACTCAACAGTGTGCGCCTTGTATATTTGAACATAACACAGAATTTTTTTTTGACACTTGAATAGCCAACCATGAACCCCTCATTGGGATGATTAACTGCTTGAAAGCAGTACTTTACCCAAACCACATAAATTCTGCATGTTGTCAAGAAGCATGTCCCGTTCAGTACCTTCCTTGCAGTCATGCTTGTTCTCGTGCAGCACAAATCCATTGCGGCACTGACACATATAGCTGCCCACAGTGTTCACACATTCGTGCTGACACCCGCCATTATCCTTAGAGCATTCATCCTTGTCTGGCAAAGAGATAAATCCAGGGTTTAGTAAGTAACTTTAAGAACAAAAGATATCAAAGAGTCACTTATAGTGGCTGACACTGGCAGAGGGTAAACTAAGTCATAGTTCTTCCTGTTCCCAAAATAAACAAAAATGCATAATGTCTTTGTTTTACCCTTTCCTTGATTAGCTTGAAGCCTTGCACCCTGGTTTGAGTTTCCAAGACCATTTGCGCTTACAGTAACAACTTTTAATCTTCCTTCATTTCTATGCCAACTTAACATTGTGAATAGAAGAAAGAGGAAATGAATAGACTTTTATTTTTTATTTTATTTTATTTTTTTGAGTTGGAGTCTCACTCTGTCGCCCAGACTGGAGTGCAGTGGCCACTCCCAGCCACCACAGCCTCGATCTGCTGGGCTCCGGCGATCCTTCCACCTCAGCCTTCCAAGTAGCCAGAATTACGGGCATACGCTACCACGCCCGGCTGATTTTTTTTGATTTATTGTAGAGATGAGGTCTCGCCAAGTTGCCCAGGCGGGTCTCGAACCCGCGAGCTCAGGCAATCCACTCACCTCAGCCTCCCAAAGGCGTGGGATTACAGGCTGAGCCACCAAGTCCGGCTATGAACAGACTTTTAAAAAATTAATCTTGGGGTAACCCCTTCGGGTCCCCTCCCACTGTGGGAGTTTTTCTGTCCTCTCAACAAATCCTGCTTTATCAAAAAATAAAATATTAATTTTAAACGTTATCAGTTTTTAAAAATAAATTTAAAATTGTGCATAGTATAAACGAAGGCAAGAAACAATATTTAAGTAGAGAGAAATCCTTCAATATATTAACCAAGGTGCATAGACAGAGGATAAACAAGGTTCCATATTTGTCTGTAATTGCTTTAAAAAAAAATCACTCAGCATAACTACTATAGTTGATTTTTTCCCATTAACTTTGCAGTTATGCTTAGCACTAATGAATCTGGACATTTCATAACATTGCAAGACAGAAAAAAGGCATCATTAGACTATTCTAAAGAAGAATCTCAATTTCTATATTTTAAACAAATCTATTCTGGCAGATCAATTTATTAATAAGTAATTCCCTTAAAAAGGCTTTCAGTGCGCGACAAGTGAAGTCAAGGTTAGACTAGGCAATATGAGCTTTAAGAAACAGCCAACAGATTTACTATAGGGAGAAAAGCCAAACTAGGTTAACAGGCAGTCAATCCAGCAAGAAGAATCAGCCATCACACTATGTCATTCAACTGTCACTCCATGGCTGGTTCGTCCAGTAGAGTCAAAACTGGCAGATTGCTTCTGACACACATTCCTAACGGGATGTCACTCAGACTTTCATCACTCCCACACAGAGCAAGCAGAAGGACGTATGACAGTCATATTGGAAGTCAATTACAGTCACATATACTCTCAGCTGACTTTTCTAGAGAGCACTAGTGAGCTCATGGTGGCACCAAAAGTTTGCTATTTTTGCTTTTTTTTAGCAAGTCAATATTCACTCTATGGAAGTAGGTTTGAGAAGATGTTTTTACCAAAGAATCTGATAGTAGTTTTTAAAGATGCATCTATTTTTCCAGTTTTGGAGCATAACTTCATGACTCAGCACATGCTTACAAGAGACTCCCATGCACTGGCAACATGAGAACATTCAAAGCACGTGCAGGCAGTCTCATGGCCTTTAAAGAATACATCGGCGACAATGTATTTGTGATTTATGTGTTCTCTACCTAGCCTGACATTCTCATTACTCTTTCAGCATTATGGAGACTAAGCAAAAAACAACAAAAAGAAGCAGAATAAAGGAAGTTATTCTCTCAAAGAATATCAAACACCAAAACGTATAAAAAATCAAAAGTTAGTAGAAAATCAGCTTTGTAAAATTAACTTGAGAGCATGTTATCATTCCCTGAAATCCTATTCCGTTAACTGTATCAGCAGTGAGAGTTACAGTTTATGAAATACGAGTGGCTCTCGGAATGGGTGGATGGTAAACCATACTTCCCACCACCATGGTGTCTGTAGCCTGAAGTTCCTAATTCAGACAGTTAAGCACTAAACTATTTTAATTCATTATTTTGCTATAACTTTCCAGAGCCTCTTTACTTAAGAAGCCTTGGAAAAATGCTTCCTCATGAGTGAGTGTGGAAATACACTTCAACTTTGTTAAATGGAAAGAAGCATTTAAAAAATTCTGGTGCCAGATAAGTCTGAAATAGCCACATATTTGCTGTGAAAATGTTCATATAATGATGGTTTGGTATACTTAAAATAAGACCTGACAGAATGAACTTTATTTGTACTCTGGGGTCAGTCAGGCTTTGGAGAGTGGTTTGGATGCCTCACAACTTTCACACAGTAGCTTAAAGAAAATTAATTCACAGGCACAATTCACCAATGAACAGACCAGCTGCTCAGACACCAGCCTGTGGGGGCAGAGACTGCCTGAATCATCCTTCCACTGGTACCTGTTTGGATTGCCATGCGTGAGAGACACAAAAATATTCAAGTATAAACATGAACACATGTATTATTCAATGGAACATGCATTACTGTTGAACATTTAAATGTCACCATTTTACAATGAACAGAATTCCCAAACATAAAATACTCCTGACATCTAAACTTTATTCTAGTGAAAATGTCAATCACTTACTTAGAGTTCTAAGTACAGTTCAAGATTTGATAGACCACAAACTGACATAGGGTAATCGTAACCAAAGATAAACAAAACTGAAAGTACACCAATTATATTTCAATAGTTTTTTGTAGCCAAGTTTTCATATTTCTGTTGTGCTGAAAAAAATGGTTATGATAACTTCAACATAATTTTGAAAGACGAAAAAGAAGTGAAAGGGAAGGAGGAAAAGGAAGAGAAAGGAGAAGAAGTCAGAAAAGTAGGAAGGGAATAGCAGAATGCGGGAGGAAGAAGAGTTATGACTTATAGAGTCATTATTGTTCAATTCCTTTCCCAGTTTGTCAGTGTTTCTGCCTTCATTCCTACATCTGATATCACCTAATTTAATCAAAGTCACATGAAAATTAAACATTATCAGCTAGGCGGCTAGAATACACTTCTTTAGGGTTAATCTCAACTTTAGCTAAAATTGAAAACTGGACTAATCAAAATAGCAACTAAAAGCAGTAGAGGAAAGTTATTATGTCCAAAAAAGTAGCATGTACACTTCCTTGTGTCAGACAGTCATATGAAAAGAAGAAATTTCAAGAAATCATTGGAATACTTCAAATTATTTGGATATTTTACATCATGCAGACCCAAAATAAATCTTGTATTTTGGACTGTATTTTGAGCAATATTTTAGGTTTTCTGGGAGCAGTGAATATAGTGTGGTTGTTTTAAAACTACTTGTTTGAATGGGAGTTAATAAATTATTCTAATTAAAGTGAATACAATCTTGTATTATTTATGCTGACGAGAAATAGCAACTTCGTAAAAGATGAATCTGCAATATGATCTAGATTTTTTATTTATAATACGTCATTACACTAGGAGAAATTAGCAAACATAACTGACTGATGTTTCCACTTTCTCTCTCTCCCCTTAGAGCAAAAACTCTATGTTACAAAGAATGAAAATCCAAGGAAGGGCAAAAGGGAGGAGGACAAAGAGCCTTAAACACTTCTAAAATGTCTGCATGATACGTTTAATAATGGAGAATTCCATCAAAAATTAGTTTGAAATTTTCTGGCATTTTCATATACTAGACACAAAAAGAGAAAATAGTTTGTATTAGTGCTAAAAACAACTAAAAACAAATGTTTTATTGAGGAGAAATAAAAACATTTATTTTCTGCAGATGAAGACTATTCCCCTTCTTTGGAAAGGACTTAGCTACTTTCCATTTCTCCACACAGGAGAAAGAAAGGGTCCATCATTAGGGAAAAGGGTCTTTTCCCAGTGGAAGCCTGTGGCCTTCCTCTGAGACTACCAGAGGCCATCAACCTATGAATGATACATATTGTATGGAACTGAAGGGGCAACTTGTACCAAGTTCTTGCAAGATTCAAAAATAAATATTTTCTCTTTGGAGAATGCTTCCTTATCTGTAGGAAAAAAAGTCAATGGTCCATGCAACAGAACAGAAACATACATGAGCAGATATTCTCAAATTAAACATTCAGGTTTGAAATACAAAGACATATGCACCATGGTGTACAAGGCACACGCAGGCTCAAAACAAACTGCCAAGTGAATAATCACTTTCCAAAAAGCTCTAATAAACTCTGAAAGCTACAACAGAGACAATTTGCACTTTCCCTAACCATGCAAATGTTAAAATTTCATTAATAATGACCTAAAAGCAGCATTCAACATCACATAAGAAAGTTGCAGTCATGATACTATTCGTAATTAATTACACTGGTATTTAAAGTTTTGTTAGAGTAATGTCAGGTTGAATTTCATCTACAAGTATCAACAGCCATTCCATGAAAGAAATAATGACAAGAGCAACACTTATAAAGAAATATCAGGACACGGTGAATAGAAGGTAAAATGTGGAGCATGTCAGGTGAAATCACTTGAATTTAAAGTTTGAAAGGTTGCGATGCTTTTATGTGACTCCTACATTTGTTACAGATAGAAATGAAATGGGAATCAGGAAATGAGTTTTATTCCATTTCTGCCACTGAACAAGTTACTAGGCTTATCAGTAATAGTTAGATCCATCAAATGTATCCCTGAGAAAGACTGCTATTAAATAAGGTTCATTCTTCAAATTCTTGTCCTTGTTACTGCAGAAGTCATCATTGAGTCTTTTCATAAAGACAGAGTTGCCTAAGCAGGGAGAATGTTTACACTCAATTCCCATTGCCCAGTCATTTGTTACATCATTCCCAAATAATAAGTGCTCTAATTAAATGTTTAAAAGCACATCAAATACCCAAATGTTACTGTTTTCATATATATAATGTTCTACTAATATTTCCTTTATGTTGAACCCATTTAAATAAAAATGATTTTGTTCTGTACAGTTAGCTTGGCTTCACCACTGCAAATTAAGTAAACCTCTGCAGACGTGTACACTTGTGCACAAGTACAGTATCATATAAATCATTATTGTTAGTCTAATAACAAATCTCATTCAGTGAAAGAAATAACAGTAATATAATATTAGACTACATATCTTCTAGAAAATGCCTATCTGAATTAGCTAAAAAAGAACAGGCACACAATTCTACATAATGTCCAAATAGTCTCTTTTTAATAAGCCTACTTTCTTTATTTGCTTTAATATTACTTAATTACATTGCTCCATAAATATATTCTGGAATAAGCACAGTATATTACACTTTGATATTTATAGAGGAGTTTATAAATTTTCTGCTATAAAATCCAAAAACTTCCCAATTTTTAAGCTATGGCATATTTTATGACTAATTTATGCTATTAAATCAGAAGAGTTATATGAGAGTTTCTTAATTTTATGACCATGGAAGTGACAGAAATTACTGATGTTAGCTATTCTGTTCATAAATTCTTGAAGATATCCTTTCAATTACATTTCTTAAATCTAAAAAGTGCTTATTTAAAAATCTGAGGTTATGTGCAAGAATAGCTAAAATCTCTCATGTAATTATTTTATTAGATAATGGTGTGTTGAAATTTATTTTGAAATAGCTTTCCTTTTCAAATAATATAGAACTATTTATTATCTAATATTGGTTTTTACTATTATTGAATTCCTTGGAAATTCTTAGAAGTTCTTGGGAAAAAATGTGGAAACTATAGCTGAACACATTATATTTCTCATTAAGTTTTCATAAAGCCATAACTACCTCTAAAATTTTTAGAACTCTGGCTATAAACAACCGTTTATAACTAAGTCTTCACAAAATATCTCTTGATTAATGTATGTATGTAATACATTAACATATTTTAGATTCTCTATAATAAGATAGAAATGTAACTCAATTCAACACATTTGCATTGATATTTATTAACTAATGAGTAAACATATGAATTTTAAAATTCTTTCACTTGCAAAGAAGATCAAAATCTGTCAGGGAATGTTTGCAAACTAGAAATACTTTGGCTAACAGCTAGATGAAAATATAAGTGTTTTTCTTTCAAGGTTATGTTTATATTTAAATCAGTGAAAAACTCTTTGAGAAAAATGGGAGAAAGTCATACTGCACTATCTTTTCACTTTATTACAAGCACTGTTTTGTTTTGTTTTCAGACAGGGACTCACTCTGTCACCCTGGCTGGAGTGCAGTGGCACCAACAGCTCACTGCAGCCTTGAACTTCTGTGCTCAAGCGATGCTCCTAACTCAGCCTTCTGAGTAGCTGGGATTACGAATATGTGCCAGATAATTTTTTGATTTTTTTTTTTTGAAGTGGGGGAAGGTAGAGATGAGGTCTCACTATGTTTCCTATGCTTATCTTGAGCTCTTAGGCTCAAGTGATCCTCTTGTCTTGGTCTCCCAGAGTCCTGGGATTACAGGTGTGAGTCACTGTGCCCGGTCTCTTCTATTTTTGTATAGCAATTTCCACATGTATTCCTGCCCACATACTTAGCTGTATGCACATGCATAGACAATTTTATGCATAGATCTCCATTAATATTTTATCATATACAACTTTTTCACTCTGGAATCACTGAACCAACTTTATAGTGTGGAAGCATGCACAAAGCGTACTTGCTATACCTTATTTACAATTTACCTATTGTCCCATTAAGTTGCTCCAAATTCCTGTCACTAACATATTAAAATGAAATTCTTACAGATTTTGACATATTTCTTTATGGCATTTCTGAGGTAAACAAATTAAGCATCATAATAACATTTGTTTCTAGCTCAATTTCTTTCTTAAGCGTTTATGACAATCAACCTTCTATTTTGTTTGTGAAGTACAACATTTCTATGATCTACATATTTAAGTTCTAATACAGAGTTACAGTGAATTATTTCACTTTTAACATATGGCTATATTCAATTACACTCATAGCATTACTAGAATTCTACAATAATATTTTCAATGGGAAAATATTAAAATGGATAATTTTTGTAAATTGTGACTTTGTAAGAACATCATAATTTGGACACTTAGTCACCTAAAACCTTATTTCTGCCATCTCTTGATAAATGACAATTTATTACAAGCACAATGTTTTTACTTTCTCTTTCCTGATCAAATATCTTTCCCACTAACAGAAACTCCCAGGAAATTAAATGTGAAATAGATCTAATGACTCATCCAAAGCCACATTATTTTGAATATGAATTGACAAACTGCCAAGACTTTTCAACGTATCAAAAAGAGAACACTGAAAGTTGATACTTAATGATAATTTTCCCAGACTTTACAAAACAATAATCTAATAAAGAAGTGAAAAGTATATCCTGTCCACTGTTGTTCTTCAGGTCATAAGGATGTTGACTGTAACACATGACTAATGTCATTGGCAAAGGTCATGGTTATCTCTTCTGGTTAAGAGAATGGTGTGTGGACTGAGACAAAGTCTTAAATGACACTGAGCTGCTTTCTTAACTCTTCAGCTGCTTCATCTATCGGATAAATATTTTTATTTATAAATATATATCTATAAATGAACATAATATAATATGAAAGTCTGAGGTTTAATTTCTTGTTGAACTTCACTGTTCAGTTTAGTTCACTACCTATACTCCATCAAACAAACTAGGCTAGACTCTTTTAAAGTCAAAAACTGTCATGTAATTTGCATATATATAATATTTATATATTTACATGCACTGATAAATGCTAAAAACAGATGATTTCCTGTGAACAGGATCTATAGTAATAGCTTTTATGGGCTCAATTGTTACCAAGGAACTCCGTTCATTTTACAAAGTACAGCTGCATAGAGATAAAAGAATAAGGACTGTATACACATCTGTGATGGAAAACAGCATGCTTTGCATATGCCTTCATATTTGTGTTATAAGAATTAAAAAAGCACATTGTACATTTCAACAGCATTGTTTCTAAAGACACAAATAATCTGTCTTTATGATTTGGAAAGTTTTGTCTGACCAAAAATATCAGAAAGTAAATTTAAAAATTTCTGAGTAACTAAATTGAATTATATTTTGTAGTCAGCACTTGTAGCATGTATTTTTAAAAAATATTTTTAAAATAAAATATATGGCTAAGGTAATGTAAAAAGAATCCTGAATACTTTATTATAATAAAATTCATGCACTTAATAATTTCAGTTTAAAAAGTAAAGATGTAGAGGGCTCAAAGGTTAAGTAACCTTGTCTCTACCTAACCATTAGATCACTTAAACTTTGTAAAATCATGATATTTATAAAATAGTGAAGTCTAAAGAAGTCTTCCTTTCACTAAAATAGGATATTAAAATTATGCTTTGAATAAAATGTCTTAAATGAGTACCTGAGTATTTAAAAGGTAATTAAATCTGGGAGAAAAGAAGAGAATAATAACTAGGAAGCCAAGATTCACTATATTTTGGAGGCACTATTGTGTAGGACTTGGAACTCAATGGAACTTGTGAACCATTGACTTCAATTACAGTGAAAACCCCAAGCAAACCCTGGACATTGTAAATCTCATTAATTTTAAACACATGGGGACCAGAATAAATGAACTTTGAGTTAACTCAATCCAAATCACCTAACATTAAAACATAATTGGAATTCAGTTGCTTTAAATTGCTTGCCAGTTGCAAAGACAGAAAAGAATATTAAACTACATTTTATTACTATTTTATCTATTTTTAAAGTTTCAGAATAATGTTTTTATAAAGCATGAAAGTATGATTCTGAGATTAGAAAATAAGAACATTTATCTAAATTTTAATATAGTTTTGTAAAATTTGGGAAGTTGTATTAAATTTCAGTTCTTTAAAAAAGAAATTTTACTTCTAATTGGTTAAGCTAAACATTTAATTCTAAACACAGAAGCAATACACCATTAAATATATCTACTAGTATATTATCTTCAGTAAAATTATAATTTCCATATATCTGTTTCTTACTATAATCATTTCTATAGTGATGCGGCAAAGCATGATTTTAGTATTAGCCTAACAATAATGAAAATATAATAAAATAAGAATAAACATGTCGCTAGTTAATAAGAATAAAAAAGTATAGCTAAAATGAGACCACATTTTACAAAAACAAAGAAAATTTATTTTGAAAAATATGCCAGTTTTTCAAGTCTGATATCATTATTCCAATCCACTTGGAAAGAGTAAAGCCACTGTATGAAAATATCAGAATAACTATTTTTGTGCTAACTGTACCAGTCTTTAGATTAGATTTTATATAAGAACTCATTGTTTGAAGGCAATTAAACCCCTATTATTAATATCCTAATGTCAATTAAAAAAATATTGAACCTACGGCAGTCATCCTTCTTCATACTTCTAAGTTACATTTTCAGAAAACTATGAACAACTGATAACATACAATGTAAGCCAATATACACTGAAAGTCTGTAATATATACACACATTGTGTGAATACTTGTACCTGAGAAAAAATGTGCTTTGAAGCCCTTCTTGGACACTGTGTTGTCAGATTTGAACTCAATTCTCATGTTGTTGAACTGAGAGGTGATCACGTCAGGCACTTCTGCACCACAGAATTTGCCATGCAATTTAGACTCTGAGGAAAGACCACTCCAGACCTCCACATAATCATATTTGCAAACCTAGAAAAAAATATGGTTATGTTCACCAGATTTGTGAATACCAGGTAAGTAACATCTACTTTTGAAAACTGTATTATGTATTTCCCTTTTATTCCTGTGGTAGTCAAATTGGAGCTAGACAGTTTTAAAAAAATCAAGAAAAGGATTCACTATGAGGCAGAAAGCATAAAAGAAAGGTAAAAGAACTGTGCTCTGAATATCTCTGGGAATTTTATATATGAGAATATGCCTAATTGTGTATATTAACGGCACACATCTTTAAAAAAAAAACCCCAAAACCAAAATACACAAGCACACACAAAAATACAGCTGAGATGAATATTTGTAGAGATGATGGTGCTGATGGTTATAACAAGAGTAACAGTTGCTGTGCTTTTTGCTTTTGCTATTTAAATATTTCACTAGGAACCATGAAAGTATTTGTCATGTGCTGTCTTTTTAATATAACAATTTCATGAAATAGCTACATTTAGCCTAGGTAAACACCACTAACAATAGAATAATACCTAGCATTACAGAGATGAGAAAACTGAGGTTCAGAAATTTTCTATAACTTGTCCAGATGATGCAGACCATACAAGACAGTGGGGTGATGGCACCATGGAAGCTGGTTTAGTCCAATGCTGTCCCCCCAAAACATGACACTCTCATCAGAACAGCATCATTAGTGACTTTCAAAGTGAAAGGCAGAGACTTAGTATATCATTAAAAAATCTCTTGCCTTTCAGAGTTATTAAAAGGAATACTGGGAAGTGACTCTGTAGGATTGCAAACACAGAGGGGTTCTATTCAGTGGAATGGAAGCAGGGATCTATCCTAAAACTAGGCAGGCTCATTCTGATTTGTATGCAGCTTACTAACCACACCAAAATGGAAGAAGCTAAATGAATACCAGGTATTCTGAAGCAATTTTATGGCCCCTAACAGATGTTCCCACTGCACACTTCTCCAAAGTTCAAGTAGGGCACATTCTAAAGAACACATCTTGCATGAAAGACCTTATTACATAAATGTGTAATTAGCAAGGTTTAACAATGCATATGATTGAACCCTGTGGCATGATCTGTACTTTGAAATATGTCAACTCAAATTACTGGTTCTTGTGATATTAATTAGGTGATAAATAAGCATAATGCTGCTAGGGAAAATAAAAGAGCTTCTCTATCTACTTTGTTACAACTGTGATTTCTCTTTAGAAAGGGCTCCAACACAGTATAAAAGAGTATTTCCAAGGCTAAAGATTTTTCCACTGACTTTTCTTTGGGATATCATCAATATAAATGAGTAAAATAACAATGTTATAAACTTAGCCCATTATTCTTTAAGTAAGGTTTTGCTCAGCCTTTTTATTTTAAGCAGCTATCAAACCATGAAAATACACAGAATTCTGTAACAACTTTCCACATAGTGGTCACAATAACTTAAAGAATTCTGGGAAATATTGACAAAGTTTATAAGGAGTCCTTCTATGAATGGTAACCTATGAGAATAAGGGTTTCAGGACACAGCACCTAATTTATATAAAACCATCTGCCCTCCTTTCTCCTGAATACAAACCTCTAGCCTTCCCAGAAACATCTATCAATTAATGAATCAAAATGTCACACCTGGCACACTGATAGCTTTAGGAAAGACTATGGTAGTATAAGTTATTTGACATGAAATTCATATCAAATCACAGGGTTGGTCGTGAAATTTCCATTTTCAAAAAGTGTAGCTTATAAAAGATTTTTTTTAAATATTACAAAAAGTATTTTATTCATTTCAGTACTTCCTCTAATTTGAAGTAGTTATTAAAAATGATAATTTATGTATATCAAATGATGTTTCATGTGTATGTTAAAAAGATAAATTACAGTTTTTCCCATTATAAAACGTACACATGATGTTATAAAGAAACCTCAGAAGGCCCATTGAGTTCTAAGATTCTACAATTCTTTGAATTATAAGTTCATCACATTTCAGATTCTAATTTCCTTTAAAGAAATACAAGCCAGCAACCTCTTTTTACCTTAACGTCATTCACAAGAGACTAAAAAGAATCACATAGGTGCCTAAGCTACTACAAGTAGAATTAAGAGGAAAAAAGGTAATTAAGGGAAAAGCAGACAGAAAAGGAAAGAAGCAGCAAAGATAGATACACAAAAGCAAAGCTATGGCATAAAATCTACAAATACTAACAACAACTGCCCCAATGGCATGAATACATTATATTTCTATTCTCACACTTCTTCACAAGTGTTCAATAGATATACAACAAAAAAAATTATTTTGTAAGTAAATTTTATTACATTTAGAAGTGTTAAGTTATATTCATTTTAAACACAGAAAAACTTGCTCAGAGAAAAAAATGCACAAGAAGTTAGAAAAAAATGCAAAAGATTAAACAAATGATTGTAACCTTTTCTCTGGAATTAAACTATTTACCAATCATACAAAGAACACTTTCCTAAAAGTTCTCATTTCAGGTTTGGCATTTCATTTGAATTTGATGTATGTGTATAACAGCAGATAGTAATTTTCAAATAAATGATTTCACTTGTTTAACTGTGGTCATCTGATAAAAACTGTACCTTTAGTACAGCGAACTATATATTTTGTAAAGGAAAGAGAGCTTCAGCTAAATGCATCTTTTATTGAGGTCAAATATTAATCTTTTATATAATGAAAATATACCCATTTCCACAAGTAAAATAGACCAGGTTCTCCCAAACAGATATTTTGCTACACTCAGCCAATGGATTTTGGCTTATTTTTTTCTGGAAAAGTCTATGTGACATGAAGCTGACCCTAAAAATTCCATAGTTCTTTAATAAAGCAAGAAAATGGTGCACATTAAATATGCTGAGTATAATCTTCCTCTAGGTAATTTTCAGTCTTTCAGAAACAGTCTACAATGTCATCCCATGCCAACAAGAATCATAAGCAGTTGCAGAAATGAGCAGAACAAAGAAAGAATATGACATCTATAGTATTAAATTCTTCTTTTATTTTCCTTTTTTTAGTTTGCTGTTTTGCTTCAGGAATTCCCAAAATATGAGAAAAAAATGACATTTATTGTTCACTTACTTCATTGCCTTCTAATTCAAAAAACTCAAACTTCATAGAAATTCTGTACTGGGTGGGCGCAACCACTTGCCACACACAGTTTTTATTAGGAGGGTATTCTTTGGGCCAGCCTGGGGTGGTGATGGTGCCATTGAGTTTGGTAAGAAGGCCACCGCAAGCAGCTAAAAGAAAAGAAAGGAAAAGATGTGTTCTTTTAATAAGTCGCCCCCTTCTTAGCACCTTTCCATTGATTCCCAAACATCTCCATGTTACGTTTCAGCCATCTTCTGGATTTCAAAATCTAGAAACTGCAGTCTCTGTTTCGTGGCCTTTATGCAATTATTTTAATCATCAAATCCCATTTATGAAGAGTTGTTTTATAGTTTTGAAGCCCTGCTGTGCTACATTTTATATCACTTCTAAGTTGGGGGAGATATTTTTAAAAACGAGTCTCAGTTTTAATTCCCTTTTAAATTCTAGTTTTATTGACATTTTGATTCTGGAACGCGGAGAAGATTGGTAGTTTAACAGGTAGGATGTCAACTTCTGAAACCAAATAGGAGACTTCAAACTTTTAAGAGACAGGGAGTCTCCAACTTTAAGAACAGGTCAGCAGGGGTGTGGCGTTCATTCATTAGGAAAAAAATTTTTGCCACCTTTGCCATTTATTACATCTCCTATTACAGATAATAGGAAACAAGATGTTTTCAGAGGACTACCATTTTGGTGGGAGACACCAAAAGTCAATGAATAAATGCATAAACAGCTGCAAGTTCTACGAAGATGAGTTTGGCAGAAATTTTAACAGAAAACTAAAGGAGAAATAGGTCGGAGAAAAGGGTATCAGCCAATATAGTTAGCCTGTAGTCAAGGCGTGATCTGTATTTGGGTGGAGGCAGGGAGAGCCAGCTGTAAGTTCTGAAGGATGTGGTCACAGGCAATGCTCACAAAACACCATCCAAGAAACCCCATCTTAGAACACAGTGAGAAATGGTAGACGACCATGATAAAAATGTCTTTGTTTAATAAATTATTTGCTTGCAAAACACATATTTAGCTCCTGCTTTATGTCGGACTGTGCTAGATGCTAGAGATATAAAGATGACTCCAGAGCCGGGCTTGGTGGCTCAGTCTGTAATCCTGCACCTTTGGGAGGCTGAGGTGAGTGAATTGCCTGAGCCCGCGGGTTCGAGACCCGCCTGGGCAGCGAGACCTCATCTCTACAATAAATCAAAAAATCAGCCGGGCGTGGTAGCGTGCGCCTGTAGTTCCAGCTACTTGGAAGGCTGAGGCGGAAGGATCACCGGAGCCCAGCAAGTCGAGGCTGCAGTGGCCGGGAGCGGCCACTGCACTCCAGTCTGGGCGACAGAGTGAGACTCCAACTCAAAAAAAAAAAAAAAGATGACTCCAGTTCAGAATTGCTCAGTTTAATAAGAGGGATGTGGCTGAGCATGGTGGCTCACGCCTGCAATCTCAGCACTTTGGGAGGCTGAGTTGAGAGGATTGCCTGAGCCCAGGAGCTTGAAACTAGGATGAGTAACATAGAAAAATCTCATCTTTACAATAAATGAAAAAATTAGCTGGGAATGGTGGTGCGTGCCTATAGGTCCAGCTACTTGGAAGGCTGAGGCAGCAGGTTTGCCCATGCCTAGCAGGTCAAGGCTGCAGTAGCCATAAGCATGCCACTGCACTCTGGGGGACAGAATGAGACTCCATCTCAAAAAAATAAGGGATGTACCCATATACTATGTTGTTAAGAAAAAGATAGAATATGGTGGATGGACAGAGAATGGAGGGGTGGATAGATGGATGAATAAAAATCTAGATCTAGATAGAGACAGAGACAGAAATATATATGGAGACATTAATGTGTATAAACAAGGTGGCCTGTATGATGAATGAATGTATGAACAGATGAGGTGGTGGGTGGATGGGTAAAAATCTAGATGTAGATAGAGACAGAGACAGAAATAGATATAGAGATGTTAATGTATATAAACAAGGTGGCCTGGTATGATGAATGGATGGATATATGAAGGATGGATGGATAAAAATCCAGATCTAGCTAGAGACAGAAATAGACATAAAGATGTTAATGCATATAAACATGGTGGCCTGGTATGATAGAGAATGGATGGATGGATGATAAAAGTCAATATCTAGATAGAAATAGAAACAGTGGGCTGGAAACTAAAGGAGGAAGGAACTGACTATATATCAAGAATCTAGAGAAGGTTTCACATCAGCTGTGACTGTGAATTGAGCATTACTAATTGGGGAAAGCAGTAACTATAGGGAAAAAGGAAAGAAAAAAGAGACAGAGAGAGACTGAGAGATCAAGTGAGAAAACGAGAAGGAAAGAGAGGGCTGAGAAGGAGGAGAGCCCATGCTAATGCAGCCATACCTTCACAGCTCCTCCTGTCAGGACCCAGCTCATAGCCAGGCTCGCAGGCGCACTGGTAACTGCCCAGGGTGTTCAGACATCGCTGCTCACAGCCTCCACGGTCAGGCTTGGCACACTCGTCTTCCTCTATAAAATGGCCATAGTTACAGAACAGTTGTTTTGATTTTATATGCTAGAGTGTAAATCTTCTTTAAAAGTAAGATACGTAATGACTTGGAATACACCGGAGATGATTCATTGCTTCAACAAAGGAGCAGGAAAAATATATGAGCCTGAGGGATGACTTCCTAGAACCCATGCTCCAAAAGCCTATGAAGACAGGAGCTTAGCCAAGTGGACTGGAAACCTGGAGCAGGGCCAGCTAAAGATGGCCTTATCTCGCACAGTGTGTGTGCTTTTTTTCTGAATTGCACGTCAAATGAAGAGTATTAAAGCCCAGAACTTTTTCATAATAAAATTTAAATGCTTACTAAAAAGACATAGCTTCACCTGCTGATTAACTATATAGTTTGCTGGATATACCTCCTGAAATGCTTTCAAAGAAATGTTATTATTTAATAAATAGACTGGGAAGGCTATAAATTTTAAAAATTATGAGACTTAGAAATGAACTGGACCTCTTTAAATTTAAAGCACTGTATTTTTAATGTAGACATTTGGGTCCAGAAAATATAATAATCCCACATTTTAATAAATATATATACTACATAATTGTATATCAAAACATAAAAATATACATTAAATATATAAGAAAAATATATACTATTTTTAAAAACGTATAGACAGAGTACTCCATAATCTCACTCTTCAGGAGTAACTGAAAGTGGCTTTGAGAAACAATAAACATCCCCTGGAGAAATCATGAACCAGCAAAACACTAAGCAATTTTGATAATTAAATATATAAGTATCACATAAAAGAGGCTTAATTGCATGTTTCTTCTACTAAGAAATATAAAACATACAGAAAATTTTAGACATGTAAATGTAGCTTTCAATGGATACTTCTAATATGTGTAGTAAAAGTGCCAAAGTTTTTGTGTGTATGTGTGTTTCAGTTCATGTGGTGAAATACCAAAGTAACTCACAAGGAAAATTCAATACACTGTAATCCTATTAATTATCAAAATAGTTACAGGGATATATATCACTCTAAATTTTGACATACCATTGAATTCTTTATCTTACCCTATTTCACTTACCCCATAAAACTTAGTATAGAGAAAAATTTTGGTTTTTTTCCCCATTGTATAGTTTTATTCTACAATGACACTTAATGTAAGTGCCTATGAATTTTCTAAATGCATATTTAATGTTACTATTTGCACTAAAGCAGTTTTCTTTTTACCTCAGTAATATACACTAAATATGGGATATTGAAAACAAACTAAAATGTAGTTATTCAATTCAAAATTAAGCTTATCAGTAATAATTCTTCATCAAAAAGACACTGGTAACTGCCCAGGGTGTTCGAACATTGCTTTTACATATCAGAACACTCTGACATCAAAATTGTAGATTTATGCTAAGGAGGCCATAAATTATTTCCAATGTGGGGAAACATTGTTCTATAAGGAGAAATGCTGGAACCTGGAATTAAATGGATAAACTGTATGTCAGTAAACCTTATTCTATTATGAATCACTTGTTGATTATTTGTATTGCAACACTTTCCTTCTGTCTGTATATTCCTTTCTGATAAGATCAGGTGTATTCAGGGTTATGTGGCCATAGAGTGTATATACCTTTCAGGATTCTGCTATTTTGACTATTTTATAAAAGGTTAGGTTATTACAGTGGATACAAAGTTCTAAACTCTGCTACAAAGATCCAAACTCTATTATTTTATCAATAAACTTTTCCATCAAAACCTACAAAAATATTCTTATTCAGAATTCAACTTTCAGTAGCTAAACACCATATTTCCCCTGACAAAATCTCACATCTGGAAATTATTTCAAATTACCTTTAAAAAAGTTAGCAGCAAACCCTGCCTTATTCACAGTTCCATCAGATACAAACTTCATCCACAAGGTATTGGAGGTAGACCTTATATCTTCAGGTTTATCATAACCACAGAAACGCCCTATCAAAGGGCTATTTTCACTGGTTCCATCGCGAACTTCTAGGTAGTCATAAGCACAGTTGTCATGTCTTTCAATCTGTAACGGTAAAGGCATGTGAACAGATATCTCATTTATAAACATCAAATAAAACAATTTATAAGCAATTAGATAAAACGATTTCTATAGAAGACATGTTTTCTCAGTGCCATTAATATTGAAATGCTAACATATAAAGTTACTTATACCAAATGAGTGTACATATGCATTTCTCTTAAATGCACACTGTGATAACTAACTCCACATGAATAAGGGACATTGTTCTGGTAGACAGAGAAAGATTAAAAACAAAAAACCATGAAACAGTGCATCCGTATGAGTCAGGATTAACACAAGTTAACTGTCTCTTAAAGAAAATTAAGTCCAGGTCTGGTGGTTTATGCCTGTTATCCCAGCACTTTCGGAGAATGAGATGGGAGGATGGCTTGAGGTCAGGATTTTGAGACCAACCTGTACAACACAGCAAGACTCTGTGTCTACAAAAAATAAAATAACTTAAAATAAATCAAGATAATCAATAAAGAAAAGTAGATCTTTTTGCAATTCATAAGCATGATAATTGGGTTCTCATGTGCATGTGTGAATCAGGCCTCCCTCAAACCTTAGTAAGATGTTGGCACATCTGACATGAAAAAGATTGTGAAAGAAAAAGATTAATAAAATAAAATTAAACTATAAATAGTAATTATTCTGTAAATAGAGCTGAAAAATATTCAGAATTAAGATTATCATTAAAAATATGGGCCACATATGCTATAGGCAATGTATAACTTGCTCTGAAACACAGTTATAAAAAGTGCTCACAGTTTTAAAACCATTGTTTTATTCATAGAAAAACTGGACTCAAATTATTTTGATAAATAACAGCACTGTCATAAATCTCTTTTTGAAAGGTGTATCAGCTAATATGGAATTACAATTTCCCCTAGTCCAACCTATGTAATTGCTTTTTCATAATCAGCATCGCTATTTGGCGAAAGACCCACTGTATCATAGAACCATCAATGGCTTTCCCCTTCTAAGGTGGCACAGGCTTTATCTCAATACACATATAAACTGGAGGAATTCAATCTCATTCCTTCATAGCTAAATGCAAATATTAGGTCAGACAATTTGTATTTGAAACTTTATGGAGAACCACATGTTCATGGACCTATGTTTGACCATGAACTTCTAAAAAAAAAAAGAGAGATGCAAATTTTAAATTGTTTTAAAAATTATGAGAAAAAAATTTTTTTTAAATTTTGCTTTTTACTCTCACAGAAGTTGAGCACTAGAACTAAAGTCTTAACAAAGTCAACTACTTATTAGATATTTAAAGTTAGAAAGCACAGACAATTAAAACACCATGAAACACCATTAAAACACCATGAAAATTATCACATCTTGTCAACTACCATTCAACAAATAATTCATTAACTAATAGAACTCTATCACTAATGTTAAGGGTTACATGGAACATCATGGAATACATCTCAATGCATAAAAGTGTTGGTATACTTGGTTGAAAAATATGTTTCCTGATCTGATCATTATATTAACAATGATAGTCTTTAAATCAGGTAGCATAAGGACAAACAAAAAATAAACAAACTTTGAAGCACAGATTTAGTTGCAAGTAAAGCACTATATCTGCTGCTTCCTTTTCCCCAAACAGAAGAAGAATTTAACCATTCCTTCAACAAACATTTCATGCCTGCTCTTCCAGGCACTTTTCTTGGTGCTTGAGATGCACCATTCAGCAAGATAGCAAAGAACCTTGCTCTCCTGGTGCTTAAATATTACTGATGGGTAGACATAAAAGGAGCAATTAACAAGTCAATAACTGAATCATAAAATATTAGAAAGTAATGTGTTCTATGAAGAAATGTAAAGTGAAGGAAGGTAAGTGTGAGACATGGGGGTGCAGCAGTGAAGGCTGCAATTTTAAATTATACCATGAGGTAGGTGCTAATAAACCATGAAATTATGGGAATAGATGAAAAAAATGTTTATATAAAGAACATCTGATTTTAAGAGCACATTTTTGAGACTGTAGCTCAATTGTCACCAGTTAGTCACCAAGGATGAGAACACCAACCTGGCGAACTACGTGTGTGTGTGTGTGTGTGTGTGTGTGTGTGTGTGTATACACATATGACCAAACTACATGTGTGTGTGTATCCTCTTGTCTCAGTCTTTAATAATACCTTCAATACCAGAGTTCTCTGTAGATATCAGAGCATTCAGAGCTTTCTGCAGATATCTGAGCATTTCCAGATGGCCACAGACTGTTCTTTAGGGGGCATATAAAATATCATCTCACACACTCAAGTTGTGGGGCTTGATAAGAGAATAAGCAACAAGTTGAAGGGAAAATGATGCAGAGCTTTTGCAGACCAACCCCTCCTGATTAGCAGAGCATAGAATGAACCACCCTGATTCATGAATCATACTGGTAGAGGGGAATAAAGAATGAGACAGAAGAGAGCAAGAACTGAGAACACACAGTGAGGAAATTCCTTGCAATAGAAGGCCCATTAATAAATAAAATTATGTTACTTCATATTAGAGGCCATGCTAGAATGAAAATTAAAAAGGTTAATTACAAAGAGTTATTTAATTAATATTTTAAGTAGGTTGTTACTTTTAAAAATTATGGTACTAATAAAGAAGAAAGCAAGAGAAGCACTAACAAAAATAAAACCAAAACTTTAGAATTTTTTCAATGATCAAAGAGAAATAGGATAACTTATGTTGCTCAGTCCATAAAACTCACTGTGTTCTTTTAACAGATATACAATAGGTCACTTTAAATTTTACTTTACAGTATATTCACTGGTTACTTAGTAAAATTAGGAGGCTTAACTACATTATATGTGATACACAAAGTACAAATATTTCATGGGTAAAAATGGCAAGTTTAGGATGAATTTAACTAGTACCTATTTATGCATTCCATATTATCCATATATTAAATATGTATATGGTACTGGGGTAACTATTCTCACATAGTAAATGTTAGCTGTTCAGTTCCCTAAGAAATAATATGTGCCTCATAAATCCTACATGAATTTATGATACTCAGAAATACACTGTCCCTTTGTATCAACAATCCTGGATATCTTAGCAATGAACTGAGTGGTCTTTGTTTACACATTTGTCTAGTTTAATCCTAAGTGTGATGCCCGCAGGCTGAATCTGCTCTGACAGAGTTAATTATATTATACTTCATCTACTGTATCTACACAGGAGTAATAACAGCAAGCATGAGTGAAAGTTTGAGTTATTTTATTTGTGTCATTTGTGCAATATTTCTTCCAAGTATATCAAATCACTTCATCAGTTAACATATGGACTGGAGAGAAATGTATAAAGTTGAAGCTAAGTAGTGAATCAAGTCAATGGATACTATGCCAGGAACTATAAACTCCATGAGAGAAGGAGCACCAAAGTCAATGACTTATTTAAAAAAAAAAAAAGAAAGGAAGGAAGGTAGAAAGAAAGGAAGGGAGATATGAGGAAGGGAGGAAGGGGGAGGAGAGCGGAGGGGAGGGGGAAAAGAGAGAGAGAGAAAGAAAGAGAGAGAGAAAGAAGGAAGGAAGGAAGGAAGGAAGGAAGGAAGGAAGGAAGGAAGGAAGGAAGGAAGGAAGGAAGGAAAGAAAGAAAGAGAAAGAAAGAAAGAAAGAGAAAGAAAAAGAAAGAAAGAGAAAGAAAGAAAAGAAAGAAAGAAAGAAAGAAAGAAAGAAAGAAAGAAAGAAAGAAAGAAAGAAAGAAAGAAAGAAAGAAAGAAAAAGAAAGAAAGGTTTCTTCTGGAGTTAAAGCATGGATACAGTTCAAAGAGCTGGGAGCTGAACTCAATGCCATGCACAATTACACACAGTACAAATATGTTTTGATAATGATGATGCTGATTTATTACAGACCTTAAGGTAATCAGAGCGTAAACTATATATGAATGTGGCAAGTTTATCACAATGTAAACAGAACTAATACATGCACAGAGAACACAGTGAAAGTGCTAGTAAGTTCTGAACATTTTTTAGTAAACGGATATTTAAATGATATTGGAAATAGATCCAAATAAACAAAGAAGGAAGAATAAGCACAAAGACTACCCAAAGGGGATTCTTATTACACTTCATTACTAAGTGAGGGCTCATATCTTTAATGGCAGGGTGGAGAAGAGCTGTGGAAACAGAGAGTGAGTTCTATTTTGTAGGAACTAAAATAAATTAAATTTAAACAAAAGTGGTTGAACACTCATCTACAACTGCCACCCTGTACAGAGCTCTGTGGTCAGTGCAGCAGTGAGTTCTAGCACTGCAGAAAGAAAGGCCAGCCTGGAGGAAGAGGCCAGGCCCAGGCATAGGGCCCATTCACATGCCTGCCTTCATTTATAACCAAATTTCTAAATGAATTTAACACATTGCACAAATATGTATTATTAACAAATATGCACAAACAATACCTAGTTATTTACAAAAAGCTCTTAAAGCTCTGAAATCTCTAGATAATAGTTTCAGTAATGTAACACATTTAATTATTTAATACATTATTAATAATTGTTATTAACAATAATTAATATTAAATTAATAGTAATACATAGATAATTACAGTTCAAAAATGGGGAGAAAAAATATTCTCAAACATGTTAAAAACAATTGCATGGGGCTGGAAGCGATGGCTCAGCCTATAATCCCAGCACTTTGGGAGGCAGAAGAAAGAGGACTGACTGTGCCTGGGGGTTCCAGATCAGCCTAGGCAACTTGGTGAGATCTTGACTCTACAATAAATCACACACACACACAAAAAAACTAGCTGGCATGGTGGTGTGCATCTGTAGTTCCAGCTACTAGGAAGGATGAGGCAGAAGGATCGCCTAAGCCCAGCAGGTCGAGGCTATGGGGGCCATGAGCATGCCGCTGCACTCCAGCCTGGGTGACAATAGTGAAACTCCAACTCAAAACAAACAAACAAACAAACAGACAACTGAATGGTTTTTGCTTAGGTTTATTTTCATGTGAATCATTTACTTAAATGCTGCCACTTTTTGTTTC